AAAAAAAAAAGGAATTGATTGCTTGAATTGCTTTGGAAAGAACCGCAGAGAGCTTTCTGTAGACTTGGCCTTGCTATTTGCATTCCCAATGGTGGTAGTTTGCACAGGAACCTTAGGAACAGCAGCTGGAGTTGCTTTTTGGTTTCTGGAGCAATATTGTGCAATGTGTGTGTTTTGCTTTTGTGGGTGAGGTCAGAGTTGCCACCTGAAGGCCTGGGAAGCTGCAAGCCTTTATTTTTTCTTACTTCTTTAATCCTGATTATGGGGTTGTTAGAGGGAAATGCAAGCAGCATCTAGAAGATGTTGAATGTTATTTTCCAGGACTTTGTGCTTATGCACAGGGTCCTCCTAGCTGAATTCAGTGTAGCAGCTGGAGCTGAGGCCCTGCAAGGTGTGAGCAGAACGACTCCACACTGCTGGAATTGCAGTGGATGCTGCTGAATGTTTCCAGAGCCAAACAAAGAGCCATTGAGTCGAGTTTAAAAAAATCAATTAACTGGAATGATCAGGCGTGTCCTGGACTTCCAGAAGGTTTGGGTAGCATTGGACAACATGGAGGGGCCGAAGCTCCCTGTGCACAAGGCCTGCACTGCTTCTCCTGTGTGTGCTCGACCTGCACTTATCCTGGGCAGATCCCACACCCTGAACTCCTGTCTGTGGAACCAGGATAAGGGAACACTTGATTCATAGAGGAATTAAGGTACCATTATTTGCCTGTGAGAAACGACATTTGCAAACTGACCTTACTCATATTTTCACCTGGAACAATGCATGGCATGTAAACTTTGACTATATTCCCTTTTTTTCCGTTTTCCAGCTTGAAACAGTAGTAATGGGAAATAAAATTTAAGTGTATTTACATTTTTATCCCCTACTTGGAACAGTATTAATGTGAGGTAACCAAATTCCATTAAAATGAATTTAACAAAAGAAATAGATTCTCTGATTCAGTTCATAATGTTCATTTTCTAATACACTGATTTTTAAGTAATTGGGTAACTGATTTTTAAGTAATTTTAAGTAAATAGTGTGACTCTAAAAGCTTTTTATCTATAAAAATGGATTTCTATGAAGAGGAGAACGAAGATTTATTTTTCTGTTCATTATTCACTTTTGCTCATTTTTAACCTATGATATGTGCAATTATCACTGCACTGCCATGTGAGTTTGGGGTAGGTGTGAATGCAGCAGCCAGGATTTTTTCCCTCTGCATTCTTGCCTCCCCAGTGCCTGGAAATGTTAGAGAGAGAGCAGCACACGGAGATCATCCAGCTGATGCCTAATGTGGGAAGAATTTGTGCAGGCCTGACACAAAGGACTCCCACAGCAAGGCTCAGGCACCAACTGCTTTTCACCAGCACTTGCAAAATGTTGGGATTCTTCAGCTGGGGAGGTTTTACAGTTTTAGGCTCTGTATCAAATAGTGTCTTTTTCATCCCTAGTTCTGGCACTGAATTATTCAATATTTTCACTGTAGAGTCTTCCTGCCATATCCAGATGGGCTGTATCAGTGCCTGGGTCTGATATTGTTAATATTTTTCATTACGTTCTATCTTCAACAAATATTTCATTATTCCAAAGTCCAGATTATTGCGCTTGAATGACAAAAAATTGGTGTTTCTGCTCTGAGATGACAGTAGGGAGATGGATTTGTTATTAAAGCAGGTTTGTATGAAACTGCTCTTTCTCCACCCTTAAGAATTAGGAGCTATTCTGTTTCCAGGAGGGAAATGCCAAATAAACCCTGCCCTTGCTGGGTGGAGTGCTCACCTTGCAAGATAGTCAGACTTTATAGACCCCTGAGTGTCAGGATCTCTAGCTCTCCAGATTCTATAAATATTTATGTATCTATACAATATAACCCTGAATCTGACCCTGGCAGGGACCATGTGTTCATGCAAAATCCAGATGATGCTCAGCATTATATGGTATTAGAGAACAATTTACTTTCTTAATACCATTTTTAAAATATCTTTCTCTATCTTATTCTACCAGTGTTTCTGTACTTGAGTTTGTATTCAGCTTTTTTGGTAAAACTTGAGTATCAAGGTGCACGTTTAACAAAGCATGAAGGAAGCGCCCATTTTCTGACATTTTTAACTTTTTTTCTCTCTATTTACCAAATGCTGTAATTATAATGTAGCATTTTGATGAATAATGCTTTCGATCAAAGGTCATGTTGCTGCTGTTCAATAAGGCTTCCATGAAGACTTAATAACCGAGACAAGGACTTTTTATCCCTAACGTACATAGTTAATACAGCACCATGTTTTTCTAGTCATGGAGTGAGAAGTTAATGCCTTAGTAGGGATTTTGTTTCCTCCCTCCTCCCACTCCTCCCTGTCAAAATACAATTTTTGTTTTGTTTTCAGGAGCATTTACTGAGACCCTTTTGACTTTTCTTGTGCCTGGGTAGCCTGTATTGGGATTGACACGCTGGGCTGGGTGCTGGGTGGATGCCAGGTGGGTGCTGTGCTGCAGCCCTTGGTGGGGAATAGAAGAGCCTGGGAACAAGCAGCTTTTGTAGGACAGGGACCACACCCAGCTCTGGGGGTATCAGTTGGCAAATTTGGGCTTTTTAATGGTTTCTGCCATCCCTGTGGCTTTTCTGGGCCCGGAATGTGAGTGCAGTCCCCTAAACATCTCTGGGAGAACATTTGGGTTTGCTGCCCCAGGAGCAAATCCTTCTCCTGACTGCTCAATGACAGTGTCCTCCTGAGCTCAGAAATTGTATCCCAAGGGAGCAGATACAATTTTCTGACGTAGTCCTCCATATCTACAAGGGAGAGAGCATTCCCCTTCTTATTTATAGGGCAGGAATTGTTATTTGTAACAAGACATTGTTATTGTCACTTATTTTATAGGGTGGGGAGACAAAGTGTGGTTAGTTTTGGAAGGGACCACAGTGGTCACCTGGTCCCACCTCCCTGCTCAGGCAGTGCCATTCCAGAGCACAGGGCACAGAATTGTGCCCAGACAGCTCTGTAATATCTCCAGTGAGGGAGACCCCACAGCCTCTCTGGACAGTGCTCCAATGGCTTTGCCAAATCCAAGAGGAATCAGATACAAGAAGTAAGGCACTGCAGGGAGGCAGAGGCAGGGAGCTGCTCCCATCTGTTTGCTGTTTAAGGTTAAATATTAGGTGGAGGTTAAGTTAAAGCTCGGCAGAGAGCGGTGGAACAATCCTCTTCCAATCCCACGTTGCACAAGTCTCGCAGGAGCTCATGGCAGCAATTCAGGGTAGGCAAATAAAATCATTGTTTGCCGTGTTTGCAGAAGGGATCTGCCTTAACGGCAGCAGCAGATTGCAGCTCCCTTCTATTCCCTTAATTAAGATGGATGAGGGATAAACGTTGTGCCAGACAGTTGAGCTTTTGGCTTTGTCACTGTGATTGGGGATTTGGACTTCTCTGGGCAGAGGCTGCGATAGGGAAGATGAAAGGACAAGCGGGATCTGAAGAGTTTAAAACAGTGGAAATCTTTTGTAGATCATTTCTTTTTAACATATAAAGTATAAAAAACAAATAATGTCCGTTTTGCATCAGCGAGTTAACAAAGCTCTCTCTCCTTGGGTGGTTGGTGTCCAACCATCGCTCCCTGCTCCTGTGAAACCTTGAGCTGAAGGGAAGCACCTCCTGCTTTGGAGTGAGGAGCCATGGAGAGCGAGGACTTCCTCCTGTCCAGCAAGGATCTCAGTGCTGCTGCAGAGGAAGGCTTCTCCTCATCCTCATCCCAGTCCTGGGAGGGCAGGGTATGGTGAGATTTGCCTGCTAGAGCCACCACTTGCAGGCAACTGTAGCTCAGGAATCTCCTAAACTGGCACAATCTTCAGCTAATAAGTCTGAATGGGTATTTTTTTTCGGTCAGCTTCACTATCAATGGCCATAAGGAAAACATGAATAGAAGAAAAGATGTTACAATATTTTTTAAGAGTCAAAATAATTTAAAATTTAGCATAGCACAAGACAAATCAGGTTTGTTGGCAGTTATGAAAAACATTTTTTATAGTTATAGAACATATCTATGTATATATATTGGAAAAAGGGAAAAGTTGAGCAATTTTTGCCCATAATGTAATTTTTTAAAAATCTAAATTTTTTTTGTTAGTGTTCTCCAGATCCACACTATTCTCATTTGAAAGGAGGAAATTAGAACAAAAGAACGTGATTCCTGTACACTGACTTTGTGGTAGAGACCAAAGATTTACTGATTATTCCAAAATGGCAGATTTACTTAAGATTTTTAACTGGAAGAAAAATCTTGGCCAAGGATCTCTGTGAAGGATAACAAAGGAGAAGGAAAGCAGCTGGCTAAAAATGCTCATGTCCAACATAAGAATAAAATAAACTAAATTTGCTTTATCACTGAGGAAATAATTTTTTTTTTGAGAAACAACAGGTTTGGGGAGCAAAGTTTTGGTTTGGTGGGTTGGTTGGGAGCTATCCCCCAAGTATTTGTTGCTTGAGTGCTTTCCAAAGCAGAGAAGATGCAGACTTCAGCAAAGCATCTGACATGCTTGGAGAAGAAATAGAAAAGAAATAAATGAAGAAACAAAAGAAAAAGAGACAAAGCAGATTTCATAACACAAAATTCTTTTTTGAAGAATTAGTGCTCTCTCAGGATTCCAGATATTCTACATACATTCTGGTAGGTGTAAGGAGTAGTCCTGAGTCTCTCCTGTGGGAAACTGTGGGGATCAGTTGAGGGTTTTCTTCCTATATCTACAAACTGAATTATCCTTTAATTAAGGAGATTTGGAAAATTGTCCTGGAGGGCAGAAAATGCAATATTTTTTTGTTGTTTAGCAAATACAGGTAGAGTGGTTTCTATCTGATGGAGATGGGGAAGATTTGATGTTGTCTCCTTAAAACAAACTTCTCTGCAAGGCTCATGTGCACTTCTTCATTGAAAGGGAACTTTGCGAACTTTGGAAATACACTCTTCTGGTTTAGTTTAAGGCTCTGAAAAATGTGGAGTTGGAAGCATTGGAGTTTGTCTTTATCTCCAAGGCTACGGCCGAGGAGCTGGCGATGCTCGGAGGAATGTGTTTGAATTATTAGGCTGAACTCTGCATTTCTGGGCCAGAGTGTTCCTGGTATTTGGAGGCCTCTGGGATAGAGGTAACCTTGCCAGCAGGTCATAAATTTGAGCCAGGCTTTTTTACCTTAGTCAGGAAATTCATGCTGGAGCTTTCCTTAAGCCAGGATTGGCAGTGATCTAATCCCAGCCCGCTGCCAGACCTGCCCTGGGAGTTGTTTTGTTGCGTTTCGTTGCAGATCTCTCGATGTCCCCTGCTCATGGGGAGAGGATGAATGCTAACAGTCAGCCTGCAAAAGCCTCACTGCTCCTTGGGGGTAATGGCCAGCACCAGGATGTGCTAGCCAGGGAAAAGGATAATGAGCAGTTCCTTTTAGTTTCTCCAAATAAGCACTAGACGAAAACCTGCGATGGGATTTTGGAAGTTTTGGGACATTTCATGCACAGGCAGGTAGACATGAGCATTGCAGGTGTCACATCAAAATCAAATCAATAACAACAGCAACTCATGTAATAATATATGTTAATATCTCCTATAGTAATAATAAAAAAAATGTTAGCATCTCCTACAATACTGATATATATATTGATTATATGAGTACACACACAAATCTCCATTGCAGGTCACATACCAAATAATATATATATTATAATATCTGCTACAACAATATATGTGATAATAATGTAATTACATATATGCACACACCCCAATCTGCATTGCAAGTGACTCAAAGTAGTCCAAATTTATATAATATGTCCTATAATAATATTGCTATGTAATAGCAATATATCTATATACATATACACAAAAACAGATCTGCATTGCTGGTGTCATAGGTTTTCATAATTCCATATAATAATAATAATAATAATGATCGGGTGTCATATAGAATCCCCAAACAATTACTCAGGTAAAACCCCACTGCATTCTCTGGGTTGTGGCTTAACATGAGTGTAAAAAGCTTTTTTTAAACTGAATTTGCAAGCTATAACACATGTACACCCTTTATGCTATGGAAAAGCACAGCTGTGGTGGACAGTTAACATATTTTTGAGAGTATTTAGCAAGGGAAATTTGTCCAATAGGTTAGCTGTTGCATCTGTTAATGAAAGGTGAGGTATGTTTGTTGCACATTTGGTACGAGTGGAGATGCTGCTCCAGTACATGGCTACATCTCTGTGATGTGAAATTCATATGAATTAAGCCAGTTTTAAAGGAATTTCAGTGGATTCCTTGGAACAGCAGCTGCTCAACACTGGGATGCTGATGATGTGTAATTCCCAGCAGTGCTGTCAGTGTTGCTGGGTGGTGATTTTTGTGTAGCAAATCCAGCGCAAGGTTTATTTTCCCCCTTTCCTTCTCTTCTCTTTCCTGCAAATTGAAGCTCAGGAAGACCTGCCACTGGATGTTTGCTTTAAATCAGAATACTCTATTGCTAGACACATTAAAATTAAATTGTTAAAAAATAGTATTGTGGAAAGAGAAAGAACTTCAAAGTCCTTTCTGGCTTAGGAAATATGTCTAAAAATTCAGCTCAGGGTCACCTGCCATTTCCATTGCTGGTGCAGTCAGTCTAAATTCACCTGTAATCCAACAATGCTCCCCATTCTTGCATCACGTAGCTGCTGAAAATGACAAATAAATAACCCAATTCCTGCTCCTCCACTTGAGCTGCAAATCAGGGGAATGGGGATGCCCCTTCAGTTTTGTGGAGTGAAACGTCCTAAATTTCCTTGTGTCCATGCACACAAACTCCTTGCCTTCTTGAATATTCTCATTGTAATAAGAGGGCATCCAAGAACTGTTAAACCTGGATTCATCCTGGTCTTGGGCTGCTCCAGGAGGGATTACAAAGCATAACATTGGCATTAAGGCTGGGAGATGGGAGCGAGGCTTTCCAAAGTGCTTACGCAGCACAAAGAAACTCTGCCGGCGCCTCTCGGCTCGCGTGCGTCCCTGGGCTGCGAGGGACGACCCAGGGCTTTCTAGAGTTACAGCACAATTATGATATTTGTAATCACAGAGATGCAATAGAAATAACCTCCTGGCTGAAGGGAAGTATGTGGGTAATGAATGGGTGCGACCTGCCTGTTGCCGTCCTGGGTTTTTGTGCTGGCTCGCACAGCCCTTCCCGCTCTGCAACATCTGGTTTTCATCTGCTGCAGGAAAGCCAAATAATTTCAATGAAACTGGGAGAAAACATAATGCTTCAAAAAAAAAAAAAGACAACTATTGATGCTAGCCTGGTTTTCAGCTGGCGTTAATTAGATTTATCAGCAGGGTTTATCGACAGAGTGGACGCTCACTTGGATGCTTGAGTTAATGCATCATCCAGGGGACAATGTGATTAACGAGGGCCAAGCACCACGTTTTTCCTTGGAAGAGCTTGAAATGATAAATAATGTGAGTTGAGATTACTCTGATTTTTGGTGCATCCCCCAGGTGACGAATCAGCAGGGCGCTGGGGCACAGAGGGAATTTCACTGATGGGAATAGCCTTGGCTCAGTGGGACTGGCCATGGCTGCTCTGGGAATAAGGATGTGGCAATACCTGCATCATGTTAGCCTACAACAAAAATGCATTCCCTAAATTGTCAAATACTGGTTGTATTGAAAGAACAAAAATATAAAATAGGGATTATATATACATATGATATAGAAATAGGAAATAAAAATGCATTATTTTCTTTCTGTCTGTCCCTCTAAATTCGAATAAAGTTGTCATTGAGGTCCATTTTCAAGTTTAGACCAGTGTGGGTCAGCATCTGCTTAATCCTCATCACATTAGAGCTCTCCTGGACTAAGTTTTTTAACTGCACTTTGTTGATCACTGAGCTTTTAAAGATGTCCCTGAGCTCTCAGCAAATGGAACATTTGTCCTGCTCTGCACAGATTGACCCTGTTGGGCAGGGGATACTTGAGGAATAGGCAGGGTTTTTGTTCCATCTAGGCTTCAAAACTCTTGTGGGTTGTTAGATCATCTCCCCTCAGTGGGTTTTTGGTGCTGGGAAAGCTCTATTAAGATAGAATTATGAGTAAGCAAAATATTTCTGGTTTTCCATGTTAATCGTGTCTGTTCAGTAAGAGAAATGGAGCTGGGAGAAGCTTTTTGAGTAAGTAGGATGTCTCACCTCCTGGCTTAAGGCATGAGGATCTGTGAGAGCAAATACTGGAGGAGCCATAAGTCTGTATTTTTGATTTAATGGTTGTAATTTTTAAATTGCTTTATGGTTATCATGTCATAAGATCTTAACCACTAATTTTTCCAAAGAGTTTAATTAAATTTCAAGCTTTCAACTGGAAATTCAAAATAGAAAATAGGTTTGAGCTTACTGTTAAGCTTCTTGCTTTGAGAGAAGTCATTGCATTTAATAGAACCATGGAAAGGGCAGGATTGGAAGGACTTTCGTTTATTTAACTGGATTCAAAGTATGGTTAATTCATCTTCATCCCTGATTGCCAGAGCCACACTTCAGTTTCTTATGTGCCAAATTTCTTTGGACAAGGATGCAGTTGGAGCAGGGTACCTGCAATTGCTAAGTGTTTTCAGGAAAAATCATGGTCTTTTATTTTTTTTCTCCCATCCCATTCCTTGCCATGGAATCAACTCAGTTTAATTTTGTGCATCTTGCTGGGGGGTGGTGCCAGAGATGGGGTTAAGAGGATGCAGAAGGTGAACAGTTCAGTGAGTCACGACTTAAATGTATGGATAA